CAGACCACTAACTCAGTCACGATAACGCATGTAAAAGATTGCTGCGTCGGCCGGGAATCAGACGGGTCAACTGTGGGAAGGCGGCTATGCCAACGTTATACCACCGACGCGACGAATGCGTGACATTTCCTCTACTCAAACGGAAGGGTGGATGAAGCGAAGAGATAGAAGCTTTGCAGGCAAAAGAAGGGTGTAACCCGTTGGCTCCGGAACATTCCGATCAGTTCACACCTATCAGTCACGATAACGCATGTAAGATTGCTGCGTCGGCCGGGAGTCGAACCCAGGTCAGCTTCTTGGAAGGCAACTATGCCTTAACAGATTATACCACCGACGCGACGGAATGCCGGCCATTCCTCTCAAACGGAAGAAGTCAGATGAAAGCGAGAGAAGATACGGCTTGCAGGCAAAAGGGTGTGAAAACCGTTAGCTCAGGTACATTCCGATCAGACCGCACCTGCTCCATTCACGATAACGCGTATAAAGATTGCTGCGTCGTGGCGGGAATGAACCCGGTCAACTGCTTGGAAGGCAGCCTGCTAACCGTTATACCGACGCGCGACAGGTGCGTGACACATTTCCTCTGCCTCAGAGCGGAAAGTCAGATGAAGCGAATAGAGAAGCGCTTTTGCAGGTAAAAGAAAGGTGCTGAAAACCCGTTGGCTCAGACATTCGATCAGATTACACTAACTCCAGTCACGACAACGCATGTATAAAAGACGCTGCGTCAGCCGGGAGTCGAACCAGGTCAACACTGCTTGCGGAAGGCAGCTATGCTAACCGTTATACCACGCCGACGCGAGCCAGGTGCGTGAGCACATTTCCTCTATACTCAAACGGAAAGTCAGATGAGAGGCGAGAGAATAGAGCTTTGCAGGCAAAGAAAGGTGTGAAGCCGTTAGCTCAGGAACATTCCGATCGGAATACACCTAACTCCAGTCACGATAACGCATGTAAAAAGATTGCTGCGTCGGCCGGGAGTCGAACCCGGGTCAGCACCAGCGGAAGGCAGCTATGCTATCGTTATACCACCGACGCGACGGAATGCGTGACTTTATTTCGCTACTCAAACGGAAAGTCAGATTAAGCGAGAAGGGCCGGCTTTGCGGGGCAAAGAAAGGGGCGTGAAAAGCCGTTGGCTCCGGAACATTCCGATCAGACCACGCCTAACTCAGTCACGATAGCGTATTGGCATGCCAAAGATTTGCTGCGTCGGCCGGGAGTCGAACCCGGGTCAACTGCTTGGAAGGCAGCTATGCTAACCGTTATACCACCGACGCGACGGAATGCGTGACACATTTCCTCTACTCGAGCAGGAAGGGAAGATCAGCAGATGAAAGCAGAGAAGGGAGAATAAACTGCAGGCAAAGAAGGGTGTGAAAACTAGCCCGATTGGCTCAGGAGCATTCCGATCAGACCACACCCCAATCAGTCCACGATAACGCATGTAAAAGATTGTGCGTCGGCCGGGAGTCAGACCGCGGTCACTCTTTGAAGGCAGCTATGCTAACCCGTTATACCACCTGATCGCGATGGAATCGTGACCACATTTCCCTCACTCAAACTGGAAGAGTCAGATGAAAGGAGAGATATGAAGTTTTGCAGGCAAAAGAAAGGGTGTGAAAACCCGTTAGCTCCGGAACATTCCGATCAGACCACACCTAACGTCAGCGATAACGCATAAAAGATTGCCTGTCGGCCGGGAGTCGAGACCGGGTCAACTGCTTGAAGGCAAAGCAGGCTAACGTTATACCACCGACGCGACGGAATAGCCGCACATTTCCCTCTACTCAAACGGAAGGGAGTCAGATGAAGCGAGAGAGAATAGAGCTTGCAGGCAAAAGAAAAGGGTGTAAAACCCGTTAGGCTCCGGAATCATTCCATCAGACCACACCCCTAACTCAGTCACGATAACGCATGTAAAAAGATTGCTGCGTCGGCCGGGAGTCGAAGGCCGTCAAAAGCTTTGGAAGGCAGCTATGCAAACCGTTATCCACCGACGCGACGAATGCGTGACATTTCTCTACCTGCAACGAAAAGTCGATGAAAGCGAGAGATATAGTAACTTGCAGGCAAAGAAAGGGTGGTGAAGCCCGTTAGCTCGGAACACCCGATCAGACCACACCTAACTCGAGTCACGATAACGCATGTAAAAAGATTGCGCGTTCGGCCGGGAGTGCAAACCGGGTCAACAGCGTCGAGTGCAGCTATGCAACTCGTTATACCACCGACGGCGACAGGAATGTCGGCAACATTTCCTCTACCAAACGGAAAGATCAGATGAAGAAGCGAGAGAATAGACTTTGCAGGCAAAGAGCAAGTTAGAAAACCCGTTAGCTCCGGAACATTCCGATCAGACCACGCCTAACTCAGTCACGATACACGCATTAACAAGATTGCTGCGTCGGCGAAGGAGTCGACGCCAGGTCAACTAGCTGGAAGGCAGTTGCGCCGTTATACTCACCGACGACGGAATGCGCGTACACATTTCTCTCTCAAACGGGAAGGATCAAGATGAAAGCGAGAGAATAAAGCTTTGCAGGCAAAGAAAGGAGGGTGAAAAGCCGTTAGCTCCGGAACATTCCCGATCAGACCACACCTAACTCAGTCACGATAACGATGTAAAAGATTGGTGCATGCGTCGGCCGGGAGTCGAACCCGGTCAACTGCTTGGAAGGCAGCTATGTTAGCTGTTATACCACCGACGCGACGGAAGTAAGTGACACATTTCCTCTACTCAAACGGAAGATCAGATGAAAGTCGAGAGGAATAGAAGCTTGCAGGCAAAAGAAAGGTGTACGAAAACCCGTTAGCTCGGAACGATCTGATCAGACCACACCTAACTGATCACGATAACGCATGTAAAAAAGATGCTCGCGTTGCGGCAAAGGACCGAGCCCAGTCAACTGCTGGGAAGGCAGCTATGCAAACCTGTTATACCACCGACGCGACGGAATGCGTGACACATTTCCTCTACTCAAACGGAAAGATCGATGAAAGCGAGGAGAATAAAGGCTTTTGCAGGCAAAAGGTGTAAAGCCGATTAGCTCGGAACACCGATCAGACCAACACCTACAGTCACGTAGCTTGCATAAAAGTGCTGGTACGGCTGGAAGTCAACGGTCAACTGCTTGGAAGGCAGCTAGGCAACGCTATACCCGACGCGACGGAATGCTGACACATTTCCTACTCAAACGGAAAGCAGATGAAAGCGAGAGAGAATATAAGCTTTGGGGCAAGAAAAGAAAGGGTGTGAAAACCCGTTGGCTCGGAACTGATCAGACACACACCTAGCATCTCACGATAACGCATGTAAAAAGATTGTCTGCGTCGGCGGAGTCGACCTGGTCCAACTGCTGAAGGCAGCTATGATAACCGTTATACCACCGACGCACCGGAATGCGTACACTTTCCCTACTCAAACGGAAAGTCGATGAAAGCGAGAGAATAGAAGCTTTGCAGGCAAAAGAAGAGGTGTGAAACCCATTGGCTCGGAACCATTCCGATCAGACCACACCTAACTCAGTCACGATAACGCATGTAAAAGATTGCTGCGTCGGCCGGGAGTCGAACCCGGGTCAACTGCTTGGAAGGCAGCTATGCACCGTATTATACGACCGACGGAATGCTAATTTCACTCATGACGGAAAGCTCAGATGAAAGGAGAGATAGAAGCTTGCAGGCAAAAGAAAGGGTGGAACCCGTTAGCTCCGGAACATTCCGATCAGACCACACCTAAATCAGTCACGATAACGCATGTAAAAAGATTGCTGCGTCGGCCGGAGTCGAACCCGGGTCAACTGCTTGAAGGCAGTGTGCTAACCGTTATACCACCGACGCGACGGAATGCGTGACACATTTCCTCTACTCAACGGAAAGTCAGATGAAAGCGAGAGAAATAGACTTTGCAGGCAAGAAAGGGTTGAAACCTGTTGGCCCGGAACATTCCGATCCAGACCACACCTAACTCCAGTCACGATAACGCATGTAAAAGATTGCTGCGTCGGCCGGGAGTCGAACCCGGGTCAAGCATGCTTGGAAGGTCAGCTATAAGCTAACCGTTATACCACCGACGCGTTTGAAATGTGACACATTTCCTCTACTCAGACGGAAGAGGAATCAGATGAGAAGCGAGAGAGAATAGAATACTGCAGGCAAAAGCGCAAGGTGTGAAAACCCGTTAGCTCCGGAACATTCCGATCAGACCACACCTAACTCTAGTCCACGATAACGCATGTAAAAGATTGCTGCGTCGGCCGGGAAAGTCGAGCCCGAGGTCAACTGCTTGGAAGGGCACTATGCAAACCGTTATACCACCGACGCGACGAATGCTGACACATTCTCCTCTACTCAAACGGAAACAGATGAAAGCGAGAGAAATAGAAGCTTTGCAGGCAAGAAAGCGTGCGTGAAACCCGTTAGGCTCCGGAACATCTCCAGTCAACCACACCTAACTCAGTCACGAGATAACGCATGTAAAGATTGCTGCGCATGGCCGGGGAGTCGACCGGTCAACTGCTGGAAGGCAGCATAGCAACGTTATACCACCGACGCGGTACGAGTTTGACACATTTCCTCTACTCAAACGGAAAGTCAGATGAAAGCGAGAGAGAATAGAAGCTTTGCAGGCAAAAGAAAGGGTGTGAAAACGCATTGTCAGGAACATTCCGATCAGACCGCACCTAACTCAATCACGATAACGCATGTAAAGATTGCCGCGTCGGCCGGGAGTCGATCAGGTCAACTGTGGAAGGCAGCTATGCTAACGGGTGTTATACCACCGAGCGCGACCAGGTGCGTGACACATTCCTCTACTCAAACGGAAGTCAGATGAAGCGAGAGAGAATAGAAGCTTTGCAGGCAAAGAAGTGTGAAAAGCCGTTAGCTCCGGAACATTCAGTCAGACCACACTAACTCCAGTCCACGATAACGTATGTAACAAGATTGCTGCGTCGGCCGGGAGTCAGACGGGTCAACTGCTTGGAAGGCAGCTATGCCAACCGTTATACCGCAAACGCGACAGGAATGCTTCGGCCACATTTCCTCTATCAAACGAAGAATCAGATGAAAGCGAGAATAGAAGCTTTGCAGGCAAAGGAAAGGGTGTGAAAACCCGTTAGCTCCGGAACATTCCGATCAGACCACACCTAACTCAGTCACGATAACGCATGTAAAAGGGTGCTGCGTCGGCCGGGAATCGAGCCCAGGTCAACTGCTGGGGGGGGGGGGGGGGGGGGGGGGGGGGGGGGGGGAAGGCAGCTATGCCAGCAGATTATACCACCAAACGCGACGGAGATGCGTGACACATTTCCCTCTACTCAAACGGAAAGTCAGATGAAAGCGAGAGAATACGGCTTTGCAGGCAAGAAAGTGTAAAGCCCGTTGGCTCCGGAACATTTGCGATCAGACCACCCCTAACTCCAGTCCGCGATAACGCGTAAAGATTGCTGCCGTCGGCAGGAGTCGAGCCGGGTCAACTGCTTGGAAGGCAGCTATACTAACCGTTATACCACCGACGCGACGGAATGCGTGACATTTCCTCTACTCAGAGCAGAGAAGTCAGATAGAAAGCGAGAGAGCCGGCTTTGCAGGCAAAGAAAGGTCATGAAAACCCGTTAGCTCCGGAACATTCCGATCAGACCACGCCTAACTCAGTCACGATAACGCATGTAAAAAGATTGCTGCGTCGGCCGGAGTCAGGCAAGGTCAGCTGGCGGGAAGGCAGCTATGCTAACCGTTATACCACCGACGCGACGGAATGCGTGACACATTTCCTCTACTCAAACGGAAAGTCAGATAAGCGAGGGAAGATAGAAGCTTTGCGGGCAAAGAAAGGGTGAAAACCCCGTTAGCTCCGGAACACTCCGATGTAGACCACACCTAACTCAGTCCGCGATAACGCATGTAAAGGTGCGTCGGCCGGGAGTCAGGCAGGTCAACTGCTTGGAAGGCAGCTATGCTAACCGTTATACCACCGACGCGTCGGAATGCGTGACACATTTCCTCTACTCAAACGGAAAGTCAGATGAAAGCGAGAGAGAATAGAAGCTTTGCAGGCAAAGGAAAGGGTGTGAAAACCCGTTAGCTCGGAACATTCCGATCAGACCACACCTAACTCAGTCACGATAACGCATGTAAAAAAAGTGCTGCGTCGGCCGGGAGGTCAGGCAGGTCAACTGCTTGGAAGGCAGCTATGCTAACCGTTATACCACCGACGCATTGGGAATGCGTGACACATTTCCTCTACTCAAACGGAAAGTCAGATGAAAGCGAGAGAGAATAGAAGCTTTGCAGGCAAAAGAAAGGGTGTGAAAACCCGTTAGCTCCGGAACATTCCGATCAGACCACACCTAACTCAGTCACGATAACGCATGTAAAAAGATTGCTGCGTCGGCCGGGAGTCGAACCCGGGTCAACTGCTTGGAAGGCAGCTATGCTAACCGTTATACCACCGACGCGACAGATAAGTGACACATTTCCTCTCAAACGGAAGAGTCAGATGAAAGCGAGGAAAGTGCGAAGCTGCAGGCAAAGAAGTGGTGTGAAAACCCGTTCGAGCTCGGAACATTCCGACCAGACCTACACTAACTCAGTCAGATAACGCATGGGCCAAGTTGCGGTCGGCTGGGAGTCGAACCCGGGTCAACTGCTTGGAAGGCAGCTATGCTAACCGTTATACCACCGACGCGACGGAATGCGTGACACATTTCCTCTACTCAAACGGAAAGTCAGATGAAAGCGAGAGGCGGCTTGCAGGCGAAAGAAGGTGCTGAAAACCCGTTAGCCAGAACATTCCGATCAGACCACCTAACTCCAGTCACGATAACGCATGTAAAAAAAGATTGCTGCGTCGGCCCGGTCAGGCAGGTCAACTGCTTGGAAACAGCTATGCTCGTTATACCAGCACCGACGCGACGGAATGCGTGACCTACCTCTCTCAAACGGAAAGTCAGATGAAAGCGAGAGAGAATAGAAGCTTTGCGAAAAGGCAAAAGAAAGGGCGTGAAAAGCCAGGTAGCTCGGAACATTCCGATCAGACCACCTAACTCAGTCACGATAACGTATGTAAAAAAGATTGCTGCGTCGGCCGGAGTCAGACGCGGGTCAACTGCTTGGAAGAGCAGCTGCTAGCCGTTGATTATACCACACCGACGCGACAGATGCTTGGCACATTTCCTCTACTCAAACAGAGTCAGATGAAAGCGGAGAGAGAATAGAAGCTTTGCAGGCAAAAGAAAGGGTGTGAAAACCCGTTAGCTCCGGAACATTCCGATCAGACCACACCTAACTCAGTCGATAACGCATGTAAAAAAGGTGCTGCGTCGGCCGGGAGTCAGGCAGGTCAGCTTTCTGCTTGGAAAGGCAGCTATACTGCTCGTTATACCACCGACGCATTAGGTCGTGACACATTTCCTCTACTCAAACAGAGAAGTCAGATAAGAAGCGAGAGAAATTCGGCTTTGCAGGCAAAGAAAGTGCTGAAAACCAACCCGTTAGCTCCGGAACATTCCAGTCAGACCACCTAACTCAGTCGATAACGCGTATAAAGATTGCTGCGTCTGACCGGAGTCAGACCCGGGTCAACTGCTTGGAAGCAGCTATGCTAACCGTTATACCACCAGCGCGACGGAATGCGTGACATTTCTCTACTCAAACGGAAGTCAGATGAAGCGAAGAGAGAATAGAAGCTTTGCAGGCAAAAGAAGGGTGTGAAAACCCGTTGGCCGGAACATTCCGATCAGGCCACGCTAACTCCAGTCACGATAACGCGTAAAGATTGCTGCGTCGGCCAGAGTCAGGCCCAGATTCAGCCAAAGCGGGAAGGCAACTGTACAAACCGTTATACCACCGACGCGACGGAATGCGTGACACATTTCCTCTCAAACGGAAGAGATCAGCGAATTAAGCGGAGAGAATAGAAGCTTTGCCTGCGGGCAAAGAAGAGGGTGTGAAAGCCGTTAGCTCGGAACATTCCGATCAGACCACACCTAACTCGGTCACGATAGCACGTAAAAAGGTGCTGCGTCGGCCGGGAGTCAGACCAGGTCAGCGGAGAGCAGCTATGCTAACCGTTATACCACCGACGCGACGGAATGCTTGACACATTTCCTCTACCTCAAACGGAAAGTCAGATGAAAGCGAGAGAGAATAGAAGCTTTGCAGGCAAAGAAAGGGTAGAAAACCCGTTAGCTCGGAACACTCCGATCAGACCACACCTAACTCAGTCGATAGCGCATGTAAAAGATTGCGTCGGCCGGGAGTCAGGCCAGGTCAGCTGGCGGAAGGCAAGCTATGCTAACCGTTATACCACCGACGCATTGGAATGCGTAGTACATTTCCTCTACTCAAACGGAAAGTCAGATGAAAGCGAGAGAGAATAGAAGCTTTGCAGGCCAAGAAAGGTGTATGGCCCGACAGCTCCGGAACATTCCGATCAGACCACACCTAACTCAGTCACGATAACGCATGTAAAAAGATTGCTGCGTCGGCCGGGAGTCGAACCCGGGTCAGCTGGCGGAAGGCAGCTATTCAACGTTATACCGACGCACGAAATGCGGCCTTTCCTCTACTCAAACGGAAAGTCAGATGAAAGCGAGAGAGAATAGAAGCTTTGCAGGCAAAAGAAGGGTGTGAAACCGTTAAGCTCCGGAACATTCAGTCAGACCCGCACCTAACTCCAGTCACGATAACATGTAAAGATTGCTGCGTCGGCCGGAGTCAGGCAGGTCAGCGGCTTCTTGGAAGGCAATATGCAAACCGTTATACCACCGACGCGACGGAATACGTGACACATTTCCTCTCAAACGGAAGAGTCAGATGATGAAAGCGAGAGAATAAAAGAGGCTTTGCAGGCAAAGAAAGTGTAAAACCCGTTGGCTAATGAACGATTCCGATCAGACCACACCTAACTCAGTCACGTCTTGCATGTAAAAAAGATTGCCGTCAGCCAAGGAGTCGAACCCGGGTCAACTGCTTACAGGAAGGAGCAGCTATATAACCGTTATACCACCGACGCGACGGAATGTGAGCACATTCCTCTACTCAAACGGAAAGTCAGATGAAACGAGAGAATACG